GACACGGGACGGGGGGACACGACACGGGACGGGGATCCCCTCAGCCCGGCCCCTGACCCCCCCCCCGCACACACCTTGTCCGGCGTTTCCTTGGCAACGCCGCAGCGCACCCAGGCGACGCACGTCACCGGGCAGCTCATGGCGGCGGCGGCACGAGCACGGCGCGGCGCGTGCGAGGGGTGTGTGCGGCGGCGCGCGCCGAGTGACGTAACCGCTCGTTACCGGCTGAGAAGCACGGAAAGGGGCGGAGACAGAGCCGCGTGAGGTCATCTCCCAGCGCCGGGAGGAGAGGGGGGGCGTGGCTACGGGGCTGGGTCTGAGGGGGGCGTGGCCTGAGGGCGGGAGGCCGCTAGAGGGGGCGGGGTCTGACGGGGCGGGACCAAGGGGGCGGGGCCTGGGCGACCGTACCGGGGGGGGGCGGCCCGGAGGCCGCTCGGTCCTCAGGTCCCGGTGGGGCCGCCTCCCGGGCGGGGAGGGGGAAGGCGGCTGGTGGGTGTCCGGCAGGAGGTGTCCGGGGCTGGATCCCCCTCGGGCAGAGTCGCTCCGGTTTTCCATAGGGTTAGTTTGAGGGGGGGGCGCCCGGTTGCTCCTCCGCCGGGGTGGTAACGGCGGGGGGAGAAGGAGAAAGGAGGGGACATTGGGAGTGACGGCATTCGTCTTCCTGTAAACGTTACACGTGCTGGGGCCCGGCTTTCCTGGGGAAGCAGGGAATGAATTCCCCCGTTTGCTTGTGTGCACGGCTCTTTGCTCTACCTGTTAAACTGCCTTTATCTCCACCCGTTAGTTTTTTTCTCGCATTTCACTGAATTTCACTGAATTTTTAGAGTTGGAAGGGACCATAGAGATCATCTAGTCCAACTCCCCTGCTAAAGCAGGACCACCCAGAGCTTGTCAGAGCATGTTACTCAGGACTGCATCTAGGCGGGTCTTGAAAATCTCCAGAGAAGGGGACTCCACACCCTCCCTGGGCAGCCTGTTCCAGGGCTCTGCCACCCTCACCGTGAAAAAGTTCTTCCTCATATTCAGGTGGAGCCCTTTATGTTCCAACTTGTGCCCATTGCCCCTTGTCCTCTCACTGGGAACCACTGAAAAGAGTCTGGTTCCCTCCTCCCTCAGCCCGCCCTTGAGATACTTGTAGGCATTGATAAGGTCTCCCCTCAGCCTTCTCTTCTCCAGACTAAAGAGTCCCAGCTCTCTCAGTCTCTCCTCATAAGGGAGATGCTCCAGTCCTTGAATCATCTTTGTAGCCCTACGCTCTTTACTCTTTTGATTCTCTCTCCCACTGTGTGTGTGGGGGAGAATGAGTGGGCAGCTGCCTGGTCCTAGCTGCCACCTGGGATTAAATCACCACATTCTCTTAATTAGCCCAAGTGATCACACTTGGCACCCCCGCCATCTTCAACCGGGGCTGGGGCCTGCCAGAGCCCCAAGGTCCCTTTAGTAACAGAAATTAACTCTCTGCCATGTAACAGGTCCTTGTGCAACCCCTCCTCCCCGCTGCCCAGGTGAAAAAACGTGCTGTCCCATCTCCAGACTCTTCAAATCCTTCTCTTCCTGCCCTGGATCATGGCTTCCCCTGCTGGCAGGGAGAGACCTGCCCCACTGATGTTCGCTCCATGTCGGCTCTGAAGTATCCCAGCAGCGACCCACCAAAATTAAAGGCTTAGAAAAACCTTTTTGTTACTAATCTCTAAAATCTATCCAAGGAAAAGAAACCAATGCACAAAGTCAACAGCGAGAAGGAGTTGCAGAAAGTTGCGAGGGTCTGGTATCTTCACAGGAGGTGCTGCTTTTTGCCCTCCCAAATGTCAGTGTCCTATACTAGCTAACTCGTTAAATCAGAGAAAATGGAAAAAACATCAGCTGGAGTATACCAGAAGTATACTCTTACTAACATGCAGAAATCATTGCTGTTTCCATCGCTGAAATCTTAATTCAGGGGATAACTGCAAATTACATGGATGGGAAGCTGAGGTTAGGGGAAGGAGCATTTTTCATGGTGAAGCTCAAGGACTTGGCAACCAAACTTCAGCTTGGCAGAATGGGACGGCTGCATTATTTCATCCACATGTCACCAGACAGCACCACTGTAGCATTTTCATTATTTTTGCCTGATTCTGCTGTGTCTCTGGAATGAAAGAGAAATAAGTATTCATATATTACTACCTCTAATGCCCCCCATTCATTTCATCCATTTTATGCATTTTTGTCTTAATGTAGAGACAAACATTCCAAGGCGAAAGCTGTATCTTTCTAGCTATTCCTTGTATTGCATCCTAGTCCTGCCAGGCTTCTAGATAATTGCCAATCTAGGGGTTTGGTATGCTTGTCTTTTTTTCTGGGCTGTTATTATTTGCTTTGCTGGTCACCTTCTCTTACAGTGGTCAAGAAATCCTTGTATTCCCACGCACAAGTTGGCTACAGTTTGACTGTCAGTCTTCTTCCAGATTCTGAGGGAAGTTCTGTGTAAGCAGATGCTATTCCCAATGGACAGGCAGAGGGGAGTGTTATGCAGCAAAGAGGAAGAAAGCGAGGCTACTTTCCAGTGACTCTGGTTCCTGGATGTGTTTTTTTTTTGTCGATATACATTTACAGCCTGGACATTTGCACAACAAACACTTGAGCCAAGTTTGTTTTTACTGAAGCAATACCCAGAGGGGGCACACATGCTCTACCTTCCCTTCCACAAAGTACATAATCACGAAAAAACTGTTTACTGTGGTGAGGCTCAACAACAGAAGTACCAATAAAAAGAATCCTGGAGAAGGAGGAAGGAAGAAAGGAAGGAAAACAGGTAGCAACTAGGCATATAGATATTTCAGCTTAGAAAACTGCATTTATGAGTCATAAATTTTCTTCTCTTTTGAGAGCCTGTCCATAAATGCTGTGTGATTCCAATGCTTCTCTCCATCATACACTTGCTGGGGATGTCAGTCTCAGGGTCTTCTTCAGTAAAGAAAGACCAGTCTATTAAATATATTAATGTTCCATGGTGCGTTGGCAATCACAGCGATAGAGTCAAAAGAATGGTGCCTCAGGCACGAAGCTCCCTGCAGACACCTGCAATAGCAACTGACAGTAACTGAGCTTGAGTTCAGAACCACCCACTCACCCCAAGGAACCAGCCAGGACGACTCAGAGGTCATAACACACCAGTAAAAAACCATGGTCTTCTCGTTATTCAGTGTCCAAGGATGACTTAGCCACAGAGGTGTGAGGCTTAGGAAAGAAAGCAGATGTTCATTTTTTTAATTTGGATGGAATTCTGACACAACTGTTGAAGGAATTTTGGGATGAACCCAAAGATCCATCCTAATCAGGAAGAAGGCTGGATAGCTGACAGAAATCTCTCCGGAGAAGAAATGTCCATGAAGAAGGATACATGCAACGGGACATAAGGACTCAAGTGGCTGTCCCAGGAAGGGTGCGAGGATCAAGTTCAGATCCTGTGGAAATAAAAGGTCTCTGACCAGAAGAATTGTCACCAAACATTCTCATGCCACGGTCTGTTTTGGACTGGCCTTGGGCCTCTTCTGAAACGTAAAGGCTCCATTTTCTTTTTTCCTTCTGAGCTGAATTCTTTCCTCAGAGCTGAATCAGACACGGCAGCATTTGTTCTCTGGAGTTGTTTTCTGCCTGGAATCTCTCTTAGTGTTAGAGAGGTCTCATTTCTTATTCTCTGATGAGCAAAGCCAAGTTCCTTTTTCTCCTAAGAGACTTCAGCAAAGTAAGGCAAGACTTGACAGTAGCGATTTTCACTGTTTCAGTTTAGTCACCCAGTCTGGAGTCAGAAACTTCTGCCTGTCTGAAGTGAAAAGCACTGTAACATTGCCCCTGTTTCTGGATCTGCTCTTGACTCATCCCTACCTACTGCGTTTCACCTGAGGATGCAAGGGCCAGATAGTTCTCATCAACAGGAAATGTGTGCCTGCATCTTGTTTGAGATGCATCGTAAACATTCAGAGAGGTTCAGCTGGGTTAAGTGACCTGGCTAAGCAGAGCAAATTTTGTTCTGGTGTGGATTACGAGGTCAAGAAAAGTGGGGTTAGTGGGAAAAGTTAATGGTTCCTCCAAAGGGATGGTCCAAATTCTTTGTCTGTGTGAAGGTCCCCAGAGAGCTATGGTATTCCTCTTCAGACTGAGGAAGACAGAAGAGAGCTGGCTGATGAAGGAGTGATGTTGAAGCAGCTGGTGCCAGCAGACTCTCCTGTAATGATTTGAAAACTTGAAGACCTCCAGTGTCCAAGGCTCTGCAGGGGCCTTGATCTACCTTGAATCATGAAGTTATCAGAGACACTGTAAACGGTTCTAATATGAGAGCTGGAAGGTACTATAAGACTATGAAAACATTCGTACTGCAAATCATGCAGCTGTAAGCAAGGAAACAAAGGGAATTTTATGTGTTTTGAGAGAAATTATGCTGTAGGCTTATGGCTGTGGTTCAGCTGACCTCTTCAGATGAGAAGAGAGGAAAGAGATTAATACACTAACATGGCATCTCACTCAAAAAACAAATGTTCTGTTTTCTAAATGAGTTGCAATGTTGGAGTCCCAGATATGCTGAACAGCTAAAACCAAAGTCACAACATCAAGAAATCCTCTAACTTAGGAAAGAAAGAAAGGAGAACTAAAGAGTGGCTTTGAAACACCAAGGGCAGCCACAAAAGTTCTCAAGGTTACCTTCTGATTCTCTATTTGCATTCCCTGTGTGTTTCTGTGAAATACAGAGCATGAGTAGTGGGAGGAAACTAAAGGAAGATCAGATCTCAGTAGAGCAGCATCTTGTCAAGGGAGACTACATACCCTATTTGCACACAGCAGCATAGCCTGGAGGGAAGAACTCTTGAACTGATAGCTAGACATAAAGATAAGTTTTCAGGTAGTTGAAACAAGGCTGCTTTGGTTTTCTTTCATCCATGATCTCCATAAGGAGTTCTCTGGGAGAGCATCAACCTCTTCACTTTACAAGATAAAACATCCTTGCGCTAAGGCTTATTCTTCCAGATCTTAGCGTATTGCTTTTGGTGCTCTTTGCTTAACTTTATGGAATAAACTAGGTCTGTCACTTATCTTTTAACTAGTCTAGTAATAAGTGTGATCTCAATGTGAACCTGATACACATTAAAGGCATTAAATCCTC